TTTGCTTCCGGAGAAGCGCCAGTGCTTCGCCTCTCCGGAGGAGAGGTGAAGCACTGGCACAGCAGCTCAGTACAAACAGTAGAACAAGCGCTCTACATGCTATGATATGCCATCAGTCAGTATACAATGTCATATAGGCATCATTGCCTACAATTTAAAAATCCAAGTTTCCACTTTATTTCGAGTTATCTAACAAACAGTGTATAGTTTAGTTACTAGAGACATTTCCATAACTATGTCGAAGGTCTTACACTGATATCCTCACTGGACCCAGAATTTACGCATCATACTGAATCAAGAGGTAAATTTCCATACACATTTGACCCATTGACGAGTGCGCCTTATTTACGTGTCTGGCGCATGGGTACAAAGCGCTTTTTCGTTGATTTTTCATTAAATGCTTGTACGAGTTTCGTTTGAAGATAGATCAGCTGTTTAGCTGTTGATCATTTAAATTATAAAAGTGCAAACTGGAGCGACACGTCACACGCATCCCATGCCTGACTAGACCATGGGTCGCGCGGTCGTCACTGGGTAACTAAATCTGTGAATCCTTAATTTTGCAATTTGTGAACTTTAAGTGACGACACGTTCAAGAAGTGATAATTATAGAATGAATGCTAATTCGTCGTTGGTGGTACAACCTCCAGTAAATTGGATCAGAACCAACTAAACAAACCTCTTGATCGTCCAAAGGATAAGGAGGAACTGGGGTACGTCTTGATGGCGGCATAGGCATAGGAGTTTGGGGTATCTCACTAGGAGCATATGCAGGAAATGATTGACGCATAGCTAAAACAAGAAGCAACTTAGTAAGCGATAAGCAGAAAGAGTAAGACAAAGGATATAGGGCATGGTGTGGTTTAACAATGTGAAAAAGTGCCAACTATAGTGTCTCTAGAAACTCATCTATTCGGGAAATCCTGGTCTAAGAGGTAATTACTATAGTGTTAAACAATGTACTAAGAAACGCTACACTATACTCTAAAAAGTTGCAAAACTTCACAGACAACAGAGGTGCAGCACATCCAGTAAAAAGCAAGACACGAGGACAATGCTAGTATATGAAAGATAGCTTACGAGTTGTATAGTGAGGATAGGAATTTTTCATAATCTTTTCAGGAGTCGTTCGACGAATGTCATATGCTAAACGAACACCACCTGCTAAGAAGGTAAAGTCCATGGACTGACAAAACTTACAATACTCATCTAAATTATTTCTTGTGTAGCCGTTGCGATTGACCTTGTATCTCACTCGTGGGTCTTTTCCTTCGTACTGATCCGTGGTAGCAGTTAATCGTTTCAAAAACATGTACACCACAACCACGCAGTAAACCTTAAATCGACGCATTTTCAAGAAAATATAGATATTTAAGAGTTCAATAATTCTTACGTTGATGAAAACGGCAATAATTTCTAGGATAGTGAGGGCCATCCAGTAGTCGCGCACATCTCCTGCCCACCACATGATACAGTAAGCCAAAGAGGAAAGGATCGACGAAATTATACAGATGAACCATGGCCAAATTAAGTGACGGGACCACTAAACAGAATCTATGAGAAATCTAGCTGAGCAGTAAATTTA